CAGGCCGCGCCGGAGGCCCCGCCCTATTCCCACCGTTCTATTGGCTCTGGTGACCTTCCCCCCCGAATGGCGGCTCTGGATTGGCCGGCTCGGCTGCCGCTCGGCGCTCTTCCCAGAGGCGCGCGGCGGGCGTGGTCACGCCCCTTACGTCCGGACGCTGGGATTTCTCCGGGGGCCCAGGGATCGCCGCCCAGAAAGAAGGAGGGCGTCTGCGCGAGGGGCTGCTATGGTGTTGAGTTCCCGGGCAGAGCCGACCGAGACCTGGCGGTCCCGGCCATGAAGGTGAGCGACCGGTGGAGCAGGGCAGTCCTTACTCTCCTATCCGGTCGGGGCGCTCGAATTGCCTTCTTTTCGCCTCAGCGGTTTCCCCGCCGGCACTTTTCCGGAGAGCTCTGCCGAGAGGCGCCCCCGGCCGGCGTCTAGGTCCCTGGCCGGCCCAGGGCGGAGATCCTGGGCACCTGGACTTATCTAGTTCCCACAGCATTTCCCGTCCGCGAGCCCGAGGAGGGGGAAGAGGCCGGGCGGCCTCAGCGCTCACGCCCGGGGGCCCCCTTCCTGCGCCGGGCCCTGTCCGCGTCCTCGGGGGCCTGAGGCAGACCCACGAGTGCTCGCCTCAGCCCTCCGCGCCTTTGCCCGTAGCGTGCATTCTCCCGCCCTGAGTCCTTGAGCTAACCCAAATGTCGGGGACACCACAGGACTGTCGCAGGATGCAAAGTGCGGGACGACGGGAGTTGGAGTGGTGCGCGGAGGCGTGAGGCTGGGGCCGGGCTAACAGGTTAGAAATGCCTCAGGGCAGGGATTTCATCCCGAAGGATTCCTTCGTGGGCTTAACATGGGTGCCGTGACCTAGAGCGCTAGCAAACTGCGTGTCTCCATCACCACTAGGTACGCAGCAAGTAATTTGACAGCAGCTGAGTGTTCCAAGGTGGGTGGGAGTGAGAGCGTGGGAGCATCACTGAGAGAGAAGTTTAAGAGAAGGGGGGAGATTCTGGTCTACTTTGGGGAGCTGAGAATTCTCAGGAACTTTGTACAACAGGCAATTCAGGTATCGATTCATTTGCCGAACTCAAACCAAGTGGGATGAGTCATAAGGTGATGTTATTTCATACAGCCGATTTCAATCATCTCAATGAAGAGGTGCGCTTGATGTGGGTAAGAAAAACAGCAGAATGTGCTGCTTCCTTAAAATTCGACCTTCACGAAGTCCCAAAGATTTACTGTGGAAGACGAATAAAGGAGTGTCAAGTGGCTAGAGAAATTTAACAAATATTCTGTTGAACTTTTCATGTGTGTTAGCTCAGAGTGAGATAGTGTGAGTAGGAGTAATTCAGAATACAATCCCAGCCTTTAGGAGTTTGCCAATCAAAAGAGAAGAGATATTCTCAGGTTACCACATTATGAAAAAAAATGTGATGAAACCCTTAGGAGCAAGAAAGAATATTTCTGGCTGCAGGAAACAAGGAAGCTTTTTGGAATCAGTACCTTTTGGACTGTGCATTAAAGTATGAGGCTATCGGAGGAACTTATTTTAAACTTCCCAGTTTAGTTATAAAATATTTCGACTTAGAATACCTATTAAAATGTCTAAAACTAGCTTTTTTTTTCTGAACCATTACCTTTCTGTGTTAAGACCAAAAAACAAAGTCGAGATCTTTACATATAATGCCTCAAAGAATGTCAGTATCTCTATTAGTATTAAATTTATGGGCCATCAAGGAACTAGATGTAGAAAGAGAGAATTAGGAAAAGATCCAGTGTTGAATTTTGTTAATCAAGTTCTTTAAAAACAAGTGT